AATCTACTAACAATAAAATTCATAGTTAAAATAAATATTTATTGACTTTAAATAATGCACCATACACCGAATTAAAAATAAGAAGTAAATTACAACAAATTTATTGATAGAGTACATAAAATTTATCCATAAAATTAAAGATACAAAACACATGCCATCACTAATTTATTTGTGAAAATCATAAAACATAAACTTGGATGATGTGGAATTCAAGATGATGTGAACTCGACGGCTCAACCATGCAAGAAGGTGTATGTGTGTCGCTCTGAATATGTTCTTCGTCACCAACATCTTCTTCATCATCATCCTGGGTCATAGGGGGAGATTCAATGGGGATGTGTTCGTCTTCCTCATCGACGTGCAACCTCCGACTACCCCGCCCTCCACGTCTGACTCCGACAGCAGGTGCATCACGCCTTCTATCTACCCGTCTCCTGATATGTCCTGGGTTGTAAGGATGCTGATCCTGTGGGTGATCAAGGATAGATGCATGCCCAAGAGCACGAACACACTCTGTTAACAACTCATGAACTCTCAATACCTCGTGTGAAGGTACAAACCCATCTGGATGCCTACCAGGATCAAGGCGTTGACTGCAATCCGCCTTACAGTATAACTACATACAACATTTTTAATTAGTTTTAAAAAAATTAAATTTAGAAATATGTACATTAAGAATACTTACTGCAGTCTGTAGCTCCGGAGAAATGGGGATGTACCCTGGTCGGTGCTGATGGGCAGGGTTCCCTATCTGTCGTCGACCCCGAAGGTAGTACCACTGACGATACTCCGGTGTGGCATCCACCATCCCAAACTGCATCTGGACTGTAGCATCATAACGTCCCTCCCACATGTCTAAATAATGTCTCTCACCATCGCCAATTTGCATTACACTTGACTTAATTTGGTGTAGTTGACGGTCATAAACAACAACTTCAGGGATGTGTTGCAGGGCACCCAACTCACCTCTCCCTCGAGCAATCTGTCAAGCTGGTCCCGGTATGCTCGTATGGAGTGCGTGGTACAATCTGACCATCGATGGTAACACACCCATCTGCAAGCAAATGATTATGCACAAACATGAATGAAATATAGAATATGATTTTATAATATACATAAATAAACTACAAATACCTGACTCCATATGGGACATCTACTAGCTGATCAAATGGTATAACCCCTCTAGGTCTAGTCATAGGCAGACGCTCCCAAGCCCAAATCTGTAACAAGACTAGACAACCTCCAATCTGTGCTGCACTCGTCGCACTAGCACGACAC